CAGAGACCAGCATGTGCAAAGGCCCTGAGGTTGCCCCTACCCACAGAGTGACCAGAGCAGTTCTGAGTGCTGGAACATGCTCTTCCCTGCCTCTTCCCTGCCCAAGAATGGGGAGGCCAAGGCTCTCCACCCCCTCCTCAGGCTGCTCCAGTCTCAGGATGGAGTGGGTCACAAGGGAAGGACCCAGCTCTGTCAGGTCCAAATGCAGCCCCTTCTCAGTAAGGCTGAGGCCTCAAGTGTGGCTGGAGCCTCCTTTGGTGGGATTCGCTCACCTCTGGACACTCAGTCTCCTGCACCCAGGACCCAACCTGTTTCCAGCTTTCCTCGCCTAGGGCCCAGAGCTGTGGGGCTGGGGCTGGGCTGAGGACAGCGTTGCCTGATTCAGTGTGTGCCTAAGCTCCAGGGTTGGTGAGGGCCACAGGATCAGAGACCTGGGGACAGCTGGGCCTCCTCCTCTGCTGGAGTTGGGTGCAGTGTTTGCCCTGTGCTGGCGTCCAGCGGGATCAGGCTCTACTTCCCTGGGTCCTCCCTGCCGCCGGGATCAAAGACTGGAAGCTTCTGAGGGTCTGCATGTGAGCGCCCCCCCAAGCCCAGCCTGGTCCCAGCAGGGTCGGTGCAGCCCCGTGACCCAGGAGAGGGAGGACAGGTATCCTGCCTTGGCAGTGTCCCTCAGGATCTGGGGATGGGACAAAATACCCGCGGTGCTCCTCTCCACCGAGGGGGAAACCCAGGCTCAGCCCTGGCCCTGGGCGGCTGCCTTCACCCGATCAGGCCTGGCTGTGTGGCATCAGCCAGGGAGCCTCCCTCACTGTGCTCAGAAAAAGCCTTTCTTCCTGACCCGAGGGCCCATTGCGAGGAGATCCTGGCAGCTTTGCATTTGCAGGGATTTCATTTCTGTATTTCTGGTATGTAGTGTATATATCTATGGGTAGCCATAGGAATAATTCATTCCATTTACATGTGTCAGGATGAAATCAGGAGAGTGAGCATTTCTCCCCAGAGTATCATCTCTGTGCTGAGAAGCTGTGGACTCCTCTCCTGTCCTTTATAAAACACCTCAGTGCAGGTGACACCTGCTGGCCTTCCTCTCCCTGTCCCTTCCTCACTCTTTCTAGTCCCCACTCTACTCTCTGTGACAGATCAAAATTGGGATGTCACCTCTAATGGACTGAGAAAGGCCCGGTGACAGTGGAGCGCATTTCCCGCATGTCTGTGGATGACTGACACGTTGTCTGTAGACTCGGGAGGGAAGACCACCTGGATGCGGGGCACTGACCAGTAGGCTTGCCGTCTTCTGCTTTTGTCGTGCTTGGGTTGTTGGTACAGTGGATTAAACCCCTGGCCTAGTGCACGCCTGGCTAGCACTCTACCACTAAGCTGTATCCCCAGCTCTGCCTTCTACCTTTATGCCTTCTTTTTTAATTTTTTTCTGAGTTCACATTCTAAGGAAAACATGCCATACATGTCTCTGAGACTGGCTCATTTGGACAAACACGGTGATCTCCAATCCCAACCATTTCTTGAAATTTACATAGTTTTGTTCCTGTTTTGTTGTGGTAATGGGGGTTGAACACAGGAACAGCGCATTGAACCACATCCCAGACCTTAAAATTTTTTTTTTTTAATTTTGAGACAATACCTAGCAAAATCCCCGAGTTGCACAGCGTGGGCAAAATTTTAGGTGTGTGCCTTCCTGTCAGGCTAATTTCATTCTTTTTTTACAGCCGAATAGTTCTCCGTTGTGTATACGTGTGACCTTTTCATCTGTTCATGGGCGCCTAGGCTATTTCCACATCATGGCTACCGTAATTCTGCTCAGCAAACACCTGTTTCCTACAGTATGCTGGCTTTATCCCTACAGTATGTGGAATCCCTACCGGGCGCTGACTTCCGTTCGCGGAAGTTCCTCCAGGGGGCGGCACAGAGCGCTAGGTTTAGCTTCTGAGGCTCCTGGCCCTGATTTCCACAGGAGTCCTGGTGTTTACCTGCCTGCGCACAGGGTAGAAGGAAAGGCTCTTCCTTGGGTCCACAACCTCGCTTTTCTTTTCAGACCTAGTGATGAGAAACACTGGGGAACGCTCACCGTTCCTTCACTGCCTGGATTTCCTTGTAGGTTTGTGCTGAGGTTTGAATGAGCCCATCCCAACCTGGGGACTCGGTGAGGTGATGGCCCAAAGTCCCCTGGAGAAGGCGCTCAGGAACCAGGCCTCAGTGGCAAGCAGGCCCTCCCGGAGGAGCGGCCTCGGCTCGCGCTTCCCAACCTCCCCAGCTGGGGAGAGAAAGTTCCCTTCCTGTGGAGATGCTTGGTCTTTGGTGCTTTGTTTCAGCAGCACAGTGACAATGGCGACCAGGCGGCCAGGCAAGCGCAGGCCACACACGGGCCTGCATCTCTGGCCTGCGGCCTGCTCTCTGCCTTGTCCCACAGCCACGCCAGGCATTTGACCTTCACGGGTGTCTGACTGAGGTAACTTCTCCCTGGTTTAACTCCCACTGCCACATTCTTAACCCCGTGGCTGAAACAAGGGGAAGGGAAACTGAAAAACCTGGCATCAGTGATTTTCTCTTGGGAGCATCAGTTTTATCGTGAGATTTGTGAAAAACAGTGATTCAGGAAGAACCACCTCACCTCGATCTCAGAAGGGATGAAGGAGTGGTCCAAACAACACACACAAGCATACACATTCAGATTGCTGTGTGAATTACACGGTTTATTAAATACTTTGAAAAGTGCATATTAAGTCCAGAGCTCTGTGAGGAGTTGCATCACCCAGCGAGGCTGCAGGCCAAGCTGAAGAGTCACAGTCCCAGGAGTCAGGTGAGCCTCAGGCAGAGGGGCTGGATGATCTTCAGCCTGGGGGTCAGTGCTCACAGCATGGTTTGGTCGCCTGTGGACATGCGATCCCAAGACAAACGTCAATGGTCTGAAGTCGTCTGCTCTTACTCCAGTCGAGGCGTGCAGTCCTTACTTTATTGTCTCTTGCCATAAATGAGTTGAGTCCATCTGGAGTTACCAGGTTTGGGTGTTGTTCAGGCTTTTGGCAAAACATGTTGTTTACTGCTCAGCAACAGGTGAGTCCAGATGGAATCACTTATGCTAAGGTACAAGGTGGAGTCTCTTTCGCTTCTACGTTTCATCCTCTGATTTGGGGGTACATCAAAGGGGTGCACAACAATCCTGATAGGCTAGTGGCTCAAAGGAGAATACAAGTACAAATTCTTAACAAAGGCTGTTGGTGTAAGGGTACAGAGATATTTTAACGTAGGCAGGTGGCCCATCCATCGTTTTTGGGATGGGCAGTGGCCAATTATGATCTTATATAGCATCCAAACAAACAGCAGTATGAGGAAAACTGCTAAGACCCCATCTTGTCCAGAAACCCTGCTTGTTTTAGAAAAAACATGGATGACATCCTTTGGGACCCCACACAGTGAAAGGCACCCTCGCTCAGCACTGCTCTCTCTGGAGTAGCTGGCTGCCATGGGTACTCAAGTTGTCTTTTTCCTGCGGCTTCTGTAGAGAATAAAAGCCCGGACACTGTCCCTCAGTGGCGGAATGCACACTGGCAAATCGAAGTCTCGTCCTGGTTCCCTATTTTGCAGCACGCGTAGGTGCAGAAGTACCAGCTGGATTGCTGTGAAACCTTGGGAAGCAGTGGCTCGTCGCTGCTGTCCCACCCCTGCCAAGGTTTGAGTATGAGGCCCTGAGAATGGAGGTCACTGTCAGGGTCAGCTGGACCGGGATGGCTGCTCTTTATCTTGTTTTACTTTTTGTTTTTCTCCAGAGAAGGTAGCTTTATGTTAATTTTGTGGGCTCCTTTACCCCTTTTTATGATGAACCAATTGCACTGCTTAGAAGCAACGATTCAGTCCTACGAGTTTGTTCTCTAGCTCAGCCTGACTTATTTAGACATTGTAGATGGATAAGCTTCACGGAGCCAAAAGGGAACATTAAACAAATGTTACAACCTTCGCTAGCAACACCGTGACTTGGCTGTCACGTGTGGCTGCACCCCTGTCATTTCACACAAGGCACTGTGAACTTTTTGTAAGTTCATCCAGAAAACTATAAATAGTGTGCTGTAGTAAAACCATTTTTGTGGTTTTTCTTGCTTTTGTGTGGCTTATCTTACTGTTGTTTCATATTCCTAACATGACAGTCATTGAAAAATTAAGATTGATGTACCATTCTGTTTGGTCTCCACTATTTGACACATTTTGTGGCATGAGGTTGATTTTGCCAGTTTCTTTCCTCTCATGCAAGTTTGATGCATTCCCGGAGTATTTTCCATAAACCGGGCCCAAGCATGCACAAAGCTTCAGTATCTGCCTGTTTTTCAATTCCTAGAAATTTGCAATGTGTTCATCTTATCTGACTGGTTAGGTGATTGATGGTGTCTTGCCATGGTGTTTGAAAATCGCTGTACAGGATGGGCACTGCCAGGAAAGCAGCTGTGATGGACATATAGTGCTTTCACCTGTGCCACACTTCTGCCCCAGTTGTGGGTTCTGACCATTTCCCTAGTTTTCTGAAAACTTCATGTGACCACTGGTGTGTCCTCTTTTTTGCTAACCATATGGGGTCAGGTCCAGCTCTGCTCCTGGCTTGTCATGTGTCTGCTTTCCTGTCACAGCACAGCAGTTGTCAGTCGCTGCTACAAACCATGTGGCACAGAGAGGCACTGACTGTGTCTTCCTGAGTTTGCTGAGCCCTGAGCTACACTGTCTCTTCTCTTGACCTCATTTTAATGCTGATTGTACCTCTGAGATGAAGTTGGATCAGCATGAAAACCACCTGCAGAAATGGGCATTCAGAAAGAACTGATTTGAATTAATTATTTCCAGAAATTTTCCCTTTTCTCTCCCTATATCACAGAGGATATTGAAAAGATTTCATACAATTAGTATTCACTCAGTGAGTAGCTTACTCCATTAGATTAGTGGTAGACTAGTACTAACCTGGTGATTTGGATTTTTTTTTTTTATTGGAAAGGGATATTCTGGACACTTTAATTGGGTTATATCAGGCCATGGTACAAAATGGGACCACAGATGGAGGTGAGTTGAGTTTACCATTGTTCGGGTTTTTTCTCCGAGATAAACTGTACTTGAGGCCCCCCAGATTCTGAGCCAAGCACCAGCAGGGTGGGGTGGGGTGGGGGTCTCTGCTCCCTCTTCTGGGCTTTTGGTCGCTGAGGGCCCCGCCATGTCAGTTCTCACCCACCCTGGGCAACAGGCGTTCAGCAGGATCCTGTCCCCTCTCCTCTCCTCATTTAGTTTCCTGGCGTGGATTCTGGACAGGACTGTGACACCGATCTTGGTCACCCCATACGCACTGTTGGGCCAGCCTTCCTTCTCATGCACTTTGTTCTTTGTGTCTTCCACGAACTTGTTCATGAGCCCCACCAGCTCCTCCTCGGTGATGGTCTCACTTTGGAACTTCTGTTGCACCTCTTAGGGACAACGAGACTCAATGTGCTTGACACGTTCACCGCTGCCTGAAGTACATCGTGTGTGCTGAAGTGGAGAGGTGTACTCAAGTATGGTGAGTCACAAATTTGCTGGGATTTTAGAGCAGAATATTTCCATTTCAAAGACGTTAGCAGGAAGGCTTTTAAGAGGAATACAGACTGGTATGGGCACATGAGGAACTCCATTCCAGCCTTCAGGTTTTGGGCAGGTGTCAGGTTGACACTGAAAACAGCTGCCCTCTGAGGTCCTAGTGAACACAATCTGAGAACTGGTAGAACCTGCTGGGAGGACAGGATGGGAAACAGAACAGGAGTTGAGAGTAAGGTGTACATGTAAGTTTACAAACCTAAACCACAACATTAATTCATTTTTAAAGTGCCCAGTTGCCTTTGTGGGTGCGTAAAATGAGCTGTGGTTCATCTGTTATGTATGTGGGGCAAGTACTAGAACAGTCGATAATAAAAGAAACACAATAATATGTGACAGAACACGTCAGTGGGAGGTAAAATGAGCCTGGAGCTAGGCAGGGTCAGACTATGGAGATGGCTATGCACCGTGCTAAGGGACTGCTGGGCTGGGGTACCCAGGCAGACAGTATGGAGAAGCCTGGAAAAGGGAACAACTCAGGGAGGCAGGTCTCAGGATGGCTTGCAATGTGCAATTTGATACCTGCTGTAGGTATCAAACCTGTTGTAGAGTCTGGGAGGAGCCAGACCCTGGAGACACTCAGTGGGCACAATATCAGGACCAGGAAAGTGATTATGAAAGTGCAGAGCAAGGTGTCCAGCGGGTTACTGGTGCATTCTGAGCCGACTTAGGGAGAAGGATAAGCACTGTCCCGATATGTTTGATTCAGACAACAGGAGATGATGGAAAGGCACACATACATATGTGTGGGGTCTCTGGCGGCGTTCTAGCTACTATGTTTGAGTCGCTTTAGGGCAAGTGGTTCTACTGAATTGGTGGGAGTAGAGGCTCCAGCATCCTGAATCAGATCACTGAGCAGGGACGAGGGATAGGATGGAGTCCCAAGGGCCTCCAACACAGAGTGTAACAGAATTGAGAGCTTATGTGAGGAAACCTTTGACCCAAGACTTGAAGGAGCAGGAAGAGGCAGATGCAAAGCGCAGGGGGACAGAGAGCACCATAGTCAAAGAAGTGAGGAGAAAGCAGCAGACCACTCCTGCAGGGTGGAAACAGAGCAAGGAGGCTGGTGCAGTGGCAGCTGCAGAGGGACAGGAAGCAGGGCCTGGAGATGAGATCCCGGTGGGTGCGGACAGGTCAGCACCAGACTTACCATGGGTCTTATTAAGAGTAAACAGCCCCATGTTGACATTCAGGGTACCAAAAAAGTTTGTTTTCATTGTCACTCCTGCTTGAATATGATGGGGCGTGGGATCTCTCTCTTTTAGGTGAGAAAGACAACAGATTTAACAAATAGTAGCCTTGGGGTGGATTTCATTTTTTGAAAAACAGTGAGTGTGAAGTCCGATCAATTCCAAGGGAAGTGTGAATTTACCGTGTTGCACCAAGGTCAGTCTCCTGGTTTAACAATGTTCTATTATTTCTGTAACATGGAAATGTGGGAGCCTGGGTGAGGTTTGCCCAGCAGCGTCTTGGGGGTCTTTTATTTCAAAATCAGTTAAAAATTGACCCCAATGGGCCAGGGATTTAGCTCAGTGGTGCTGCCTCCTGCCTCCCAAGCGCAAGGTCCCGGTACCAAATACAAATAAACAAAAAAATTGACCCAGGTGACCTAAACCTTAGTCACACATAAACTGTGTTCATGAATCTGGGTCAGGCAGGCACAGCCCACCCTATGGGCGCCCCAACTCCTTACTCTTGAAGGCGATGCCCGCGTTGTTGACCAGCACGTCCGCCC